GTATTAAAATGTGCTCAAAATAGTGTTATAGTCTCCTAACATTTTTTATTTTGTTTCATTTTTTTCCCCTAGACAAAATTCGAAGATACTTCGGGGAAACGGTTGCAATATATTTCAGGTTTCTGGGATTCTACACCAGAATGCTTATATTTCCAGCGGTATTCGGTATAGTCTATTACTTCTTCGGTGGTAAAAGGCGTGCAAGCCATAGTTACGCACTTTTCGCAGTATTCAACTTAATCTGGACCACTTGTTTCCTGGAGATGTGGAAACGTAGGTGTGCAGCGACCGCTTTCCGATGGGGCACGTATGGAATGGTAAAGTTTGAAGAGGCACGACCCTCATACACGGGTGAAGTCCATATTAATCCGGTAACGAAACGGGAGGAGCCGTACTATCCAAAATGGAAACGCATGTTGAAGAAGTACGGCGTATCGGTTCCCATTATTTTCCTCTGTCTTGTATTTGCGTTTTGGATGATGCTAATGTCCTTTCATTTCGAGGCTAAAGTGTCCAAACTTTATGACCTGGAAACGACAGAGGGTCAAATCATGTTCCAAGTTCCTAGTATTGTCTACTCCATCTTGATTGTCGTTTGCAACAAAATTTACCGCAAGTTGGCAAGATTCTTGAATGATTGGGGTAAATATTTTTATATAGTGTCGGAGCATACTGTAAATCAGACAGTAACAAAATCTTGCAAACTATAGTGTAATGTGTGTCACATGCTAGCAAAATGTGATTGTCCTCACAAATCAATTCAGTCTCGTGTAAATCATTATCATCATGATTATTATCACCATCTTCATGCTATTTAGAAATGCCTCCATTAATGATTTATTACAAGATTACCCAAGCTAATAACCACGATTCTTGAAGGGAGGTGGTTAGCTATGAGATTCATAGACTAAGGGAATACCCAGACATCCTGATGGGGTTCATTGGAAGATCTCTTTTTGGATCAGGAGGCCAACCCCAAGAGCTGGATTGTGTTTTCAGGTCTGTTAGCCCAACACAGAGAGTAATCTGTAAAAATATAAATTACATAATTTATGTGTTCAATTCATTTAAAGATTTTATATAATTTTGTCCTTTGTACAATTGTAGTGTTGTTTTTTTTTTCTTCGTAGAAAACCATCGCTTAGAGTCTTCGTATGCAAACAATCTTATTTTGAAGCTTGTTGTGGTATGCTGTCATATTAATGGTTTTTGCATGTACTAAAAAAAGGCCAATATTATTATAACATTTAGAATAACATTAACAATAATGATAATTATAATTATAATGATATCAATTTGTATAGCACCATTCTAATTACACTTTTACAGTGTTCTCCCGAAGCCGGATTTGCTGGCATTATTTTGCCGGAATGAAACTCTTCCGACAGGAATTAAAAAATGACAATTTTTCTTTTTCAAAATACAGATATTATAAATTGATAAGATTAAGATATCCCCCTCAAAGAAGAGAGAAAACCTTAAACCTCTTCTTTGGTGCTATCCACCATTAAAAAAGTTGCTGGAATAAATGTTTTTATTGAGAAAACACTGTATTTAAGTTTTCTTTTTCAAGTTGAATAATCCTATAATGCAATTCGTTAACCAACTAAACACATTCCCATAATGCCTTTTCACTTGTCAAATATCCTATCCACCAATAAGCCAATTCGTAGTCTACAAAGCCAACTACAAATTTGCCCTTATCCAAGGTCAATCAACAAACCTGTGTTGTGTGTATATCTGTTTTTGTCGGTTAAACTTTATATATGCATGCACATTTCATAATGAGGATTGGCTTATTGCCATACTTTTATGTTGGCTGCATCATCACCGCATAATCTTATTTTTCCAGCTGGAGTTTTTTTGTATATGGTTTAGCTTTTTGTGGATTAACATTAACCTTTTAAACCATTACTAATTCTAATAATTATTTTGCTGTATATTTGAAATAATATCAACATTTTAGTTTTAATAGAAATTAATTCCAGAATTTATTAAAAAATACTGACAAAATATATTTGACAATAGGTTTTGTGGCTGCTTGGCATAGTTTGAGCTAACATTACCCCAGCTGTGTGCTAAACTCTATTGGCTAATGATAAATTAATTCTTTGTCCACTTATTCACTACTTTCTCAGTTAATTACATTTATATCTGTGTATTTAGAAAGCTTTGCCACCAAGGATGTTTCTTTACTCCATGGTTAGATTTGAAGGTTGTGGTGATGCATTCAACATTCCTGTGGTTCCCACTATCAATCTAATAAATGTCTGCATTTTTGTTTCTGAGATTTATCTTCCTCGCATTTATATACTTTAAGAGTCATTATTATAGGTTACTGTTAACCATGTTTTGTTCTAATCATCCAGTATAATATACTATAACCATTATTTTTTAAATTAACATGCTCATTTTGCAGTAACATACAATTTATTAAACTTGAGCATGGAAAATATTGAATTTAAAAAATGGGTATATTATGGGTAAATATATTTTAAATTGATGATTTTTATGTTCCTTCAAAATGAGCAAATTAATTTCAAAAATTATTTTGTAATTTCTTTGGTTGTTTGCCTGGGACAATGCATCTTTAACAATTCCTTATTATTTTCAGTTTGAATTCTTCAATTGTTTCATGTCTTTGTTCTATGTGGCATTTTACCTCAGGGATATGAAGATGCTGAGGCAGGTGAGTTCTATAAATAAAGGCCTAATTAATACAAGTAAAGTTTTTAATAATTATTTTAATATTTTTCAGTTTTAGCTTACAATATTTTAAGAAGACAAATTCCTTGTTTTGTAAAGTTTCAGATTATTTATATGTCTTATAGTATGTGTCAAGTTTGCTAATTGTGTCACAAGTTATTGATCAAATGATTGAGACTGTCATCCCGTACCTGGTCCTACGTTTCATCAGGAAGGGCACTTTACCAGATTCTCATGATAAGTCTGAGGGTGCAGACCATCCAGCATTAAGAGAGAGTAAAATGGACGAATATGAGGTTCGTTTATTTATAGTTGTATAATAAGAGGATCTCATTAACTTACCACATTTATTACAAATTATAATATTATAAAATAAGTTGAAAAGATATAAAACACTACAGTATCAAACACCGAAGAAAATTATACAAGCCATCATTGACAATATATTACAAACTTTATTCATTCATCTTCCAGAAATGAAACAATATATAAAATATATCATACTTATATAATATAACATACAAACTTCTATTTTATTTTGCTAAATTAACACCATTTAATCCAGATGAGTTTCATGGTATTGTTCTTATTCAGATTTAGATTGAATTTTATTTGTCCAATATGACAATAGCAGTGTGTTTATTTATTTGTCATTTTCAGTTCAGCAGTAATTGAGCGATGTTTTATTTTTATTTTATTAGGGTACATTTGATGATTACCTTGAACTGTTTCTACAATTTGGTTATATATCCCTGTTCTCTGCAGTCTACCCTCTCGCAGCCTGCTTCGCTTTGGCCAATAATCTGATTGAAATCCGTTCAGATGGTTTTAAATTTTGCCGTGTCCTGCAGCGACCTTTCTCAAGGCCTGCCGCAGACATTGGTACATGGCTGGTAAGTTATAAGTGGAAAATATTAACCTCTGACCTGTGACCTATGTAGAGCCTTATTGCATATACGGTAGTTTCTACGTGCTTTAAACAAAATTAGAAAAACAAAGAAAGTTTGAAAATGCGGTCAGCTTTGGAGTGTGTTGTCCACCAAGGAGATCCGTTGGTACACGGATCAATTCAATCTGCTGCTTTCTAAATGGGTCTTTGGGTTATCCTTAGTGTTCACATCGGATAAATCCAAACCCAAACAAATAGCGGTGGTTGTATTTAACAGGATAATATTTGAACCAAGGCATTTGTCTTAACCCCAAACTACAGCTCCACCACAAAGTTAAGCATTGGCATTGTTATCGTGCAAGGCAGCAAAATTACCTCAAAAAAGCAACAAGTCCCACACTGAAAAAATTATCACACATATTCTGTTTATCATTTTACGAGTAATACCTGTTTCTTATGTTTCCTTTTGTAGCTAGTATTTGAGACAATGAGTGTACTTGCGGTCATCACTAACTGTGCTCTGATTGGCATGTCACCGGAGATCCAATCATGGCTCCCAGAAATCTCACTAATTAAGCAAGTTCTTATCTTTGTTGGTGTCGAAGTAAGTGCAAAATTTTGTTCTCCCCCTTTTTCAAAGCACCTTTTACACTGGCCAAAATTGCTGGAACCGAGCATTGCATCCTTTAATAAAAGAATCTATGTCATGATATGCAGTGACAGACGCATGTCCGGTACGACTTGATTGATGTGTCAACATTACAAGTTCCTTGCAGTAGCTACAGTATACACGACAACAACTGCACCCTTTGCCTGGCATCTTAATTTTGTTAGCTGTTGGTATTTATATTTATTTCCATTTGCAGCATATATTTCTTGGAGCAAAAGTAGCAATTGCTATACTTATACCTGACCTACCAGAATGGCTGGAGATCGAGTTAGCCAAGGAGGAGTACCAATCTAAGCAGGCCCTGTTACAAAAGGTAGCATCACATATGTGTTAACTTACAGTATGATGAGTATAAAATTATGAATGATATGGTTTCAAATTGTAACTGCGAGTTAACTGACAAAACATGCCCTAAGCAATTCCCCAACTGAAGCAGCGGGGAATTTGATTATAGAAGCAGTTGGCACAACTGTAAGGTCAAGGGTTTAAATTCCACGCTAGCTTTCCACTTGTCTTTTTGGGCATGGTACTTTATCTGTGTTTATCTCCACCCATCTGTAATAGACCTTAACAGAGTGTCAATAAAATTTAAAATCATATCTTTTCTCTATTAAATAGTTTCTGTCACATTAACTCAAATAACGATACAGTATTTTACTTGAGATTAACCATTTTGTGTACACTGAAATTAAACCATTGTCCTTAAGCATCACCGAACATGGAATGTGGTGTCATACAAGTTATTTTGCTTGATTCTTTTTTGATTGAATCTTAACTGACCAATCAGAACAGAAGTATGCGGTTGTCCCGAAAAGACACAAGCTTACATATGTTTATGCTGTTGTTTTCTTGGACCCTAGCAACAATATCCAAGGGGTGGGGCTTACTGTAGCAGAACGATCCATTTATCGTGTTGCATTAATATGTTGTATTACAAAACAGCAGTGTGCATATGCCTATGTTTTTCTGTGTAAATGCATATCCTAATAAGATCACCTTCATTTGAATTACAGAAAGCTGAGGAAATGAAGAAGACAGAATGATATGTTCACTTCCCTCTGCAAGTGTACTCATTTTACAGGGAGAAATTGTGAGTGTCTCTAACTGTATTCTTGTACACCCATAAAGCCTTTTGTATTGTGAATTAAATCCGATGTCATTGGAGTCCTTATCTTAAAAAAGAAATTGATTGCAGTTTAATTGTATTCGTTTGTATATGCACAAAATGTCGTACAAGGCAACTTGTGCATTGATTGGTAAAGTGGGCCTTACCCCCTTCTGCATAGCAATCAAATTGACTGGATTAGAATGGATTTCATTGTACTATCAAAAGCTAAAAAAAAAATATCCAGTACTGTAATTTGAAGCAATGTTTTTCTTGAGTTTCTGAACCAATCCTAGAGGCTGTTTAATATTAGAATCAGTATGATTTTATGTAAATATAATGAAGAAGCTTGACCAATCCAAGATGCTGTTTTATAGCACATTTAGTACATTTCATGCAATATTATAATAAAAATGCTGGACCAATCACAGAGTAGGACATTTACAGTTGGACTTGCCAAAGTCGAATCCAAAAAGACATTGAAAAATTGTTTGACTTAAATAAAATTCGACTTACAGATCGTTAATTAATGGAAAACAAAACAATTTGGCATGTAAAGTAAGATCGACTTAGAAATTATTCGAGTTGATAAAATTCGACTTGCAGATCATTAATAAAAAGAAAACTTGAAAAATTGGCATGTAAAATAACATCGACTTATAAATTATTTGAGTTAGGCAAAGCTGACTTAAGCAAATTTAACTGTAGTACAATTTTAAGAGATATTTTAACGACATTGCTGGACCAATCCAAGAGGATGTTTCATAGTCCATTCAGTACTACAATGGACCTTTTTGCTAAGCACCACCCATCATATAGTGTTGCACAAAATGACAACATAAATGTATATAAATACATGTGTATATGGGACAAGGGGGTTTTCCTGGCATTGTTCTGATTGGCCAGTTGGTAGATTTGATTGAAACTTCAGAAATGTCCATTTGAAAAAATGTTGTGATGAAAATCTTTGGCCAATCCCAGATGCTGTTACATAGCACACTTGGTATGATTTCAAGCAATATTACAATGAAGGTGCTGGTCCAATCCAAAAAGCTATGTCATAGTACATGGAAGAATTATTTCAAGCAATCATTAGTATAAAAGTGTTGGACCAATCACGGAAGTTGTTTCATAGCACATTTTTAAATTATTTTAGGCAATCTTACTATGAAGGTGCTGGGCTAATCACAGAGTTTGTTTCATAGCACAATTAGAATTATTTTAAGCAATTTTATTATGAAGCTGCTGGGCCAATCTCAGAGGTTGTTTCATAGCACATGTTAAAATTATTTAAAGCAATCTTTAGTATGAAGGCACTGGACCAATTACAGAAGTTGTTTCATAGCACATGTTAAAATTATTTTAGGCAATATTTATTATGAAGGTGCTGGGCCAATCACAGAGTTTGTTTCATAGTACAATTAGAATTATTTAAAGCAATCTTTAAAACTTTTGGACTGATCTAATGTATATACAGTACTGCAAAATATTCAGTCAGCCCAGCATAGTTTACACATCTACTTACCTCATTTTTGAAAAATTAGAATATACATTTTTTTTAACAACAGAATGTACTTCACAATAGAACCTATATATTTTTATCTTATTTATTAATATGTTATGCATTTTTTAAGACATGGTATTCAGTAATTGTGTTTTATTATATCACCAATGGGGGTATTTCTCCTTTAAAAAAAAAGTTCAAAAACAACCAAATAGTTTATAGTTTGTCAAATATTTTATTGTATATTTTACTTTTGTAGTTTACCATTGTTTATATTAGTTTGTCAAATAGTTTTAGATTTATCAGTAATTAAAATTTTATTCTATAAAAATATGTATTCTCTAAAGTGTTTATCAATATAATTAAGTCTTGAATTATTTTGTATATTTAACTATTTTAATTGAAAATTAGAAATATTTTCATCATTAATTAAACTTGAATAATACTATATCAATATTTTGCACAGACTTCTCTATAGAGTACTACAGTGTTACATCACGATACCGTGTGATACTACTCCGTTGCTATCGTTGCAAAAAGCGTTCAACCGGGTGCCATTTTCTCCACTGACAAACCATTGATCCCAATTTCTAATGTAATTATTGAAGATGTATTGTCCCATGCTAAATATCAAAAAAATCATTAAAATATTTTTTGAAATTAACTTGCCCATTTTGAAGTAACATAAAAAGTAAATTTTAACTGATGATTAAATGTGTGTTCGATAACTAATATAATGCGAGCTTTTGTGTTTTTAGTACATTTTGATGGTAAAATCTTAGATTTCAAAATGCCTATTCCAGAAAGCCTATGAAGTCATTCAGGCGTAATGAACGGTAACCAATGTCTGTTGACAAAAGAGAGCGCCACCTGGCGTCGTGACAACACGACTGTGGTACTCTATTGTAATACTGTTTCAATCGATAATAAATCAAGCACAATGGATGTAAACTTACTGCGAGGTTTTGTCAATGTTAACAACATTAAGATTTAAAAAATCAAAAATAGATGATGAACAGAGACGATGGGACAAAAACGTTTTCCCACATTTATGACGAACTCCAGAGGGATGGATCCAGAAATGTCCGAAAAGGGGGGGCCAAAAGTGAGGCCAATTGAGATCACACCACCCTAAGGGGTCTGGGGCAAGCCCCTGTGAAATTTTTGTTTTCTAGATGCCTGAAATTAACCTCAGAGGCGTTTTGGGGCGATCAATTTTTTTCTTTTTTTTTTACTTTCCAAAAAGAGGACTGGGGCCCGGGCCCCTAAATCCGCACCTGAACTCCCCAAAACCAATCCTAACAGTAAAAGAGCTGGCACCAGAGGGCATAGTTCACAAAATGCCCAAAACAACGGATGCTAGCTCACATAACCTGACGAAGTCATGTTGATGTCATCAACGAATGCTCGCAGTAAGCTTACATTCATTGTGCATGGATCATTATCGATAAAACAGTTCTACAGCTGTAATAAGCTAACCGGATGAAACTATTTAAAGACCTATTTATTGTCTGCTAATTAGTTTGAGAGAGTTTGTTTTTGTAGTCAAAAGTCTGTACATCAACACACTGGTTTTTTTTATTATGAATGTATCTCATTGATGGAAAATGAGAATTTTTAAGACAATTCAATATGTTTAATTCAATTTTGAAAGGGTTTTCAGATTTTACCAGACAGTACATTTTTGTAGAAAATGAGTGGCATAGCGGTAAGGTATTAGGCTTTCAATCAAGAGGTCGTGGGTTCGAGGCCGCTGCTTGTGATTCTGCTTGAGTCCTTTGACACTTTACAGTTCACACTCCAATTCGAGACCCCTCTAATTCCGAGGCCCCTCTAATTCCGAGTTCCCTCTAATTCGAGACCGCTTTTTTATAGAACCAAATAAAAATGTTCAATCTTTTAACAATATGCTAACCCTCTAATTGGAAACCAAACCACATGACCACCACAAATGCTTATGTCCCAAAGGTGGTCTCAAATTTGTGGGTAAACTGTATCTATATTTGCCTCTCTTTACCCAGGAATTCAAATGGGTACCTGGTAGGAGGTGATTGATTCAGAATGAAATTGGTAGTTTTGAATTAACATAACTTGGAATATGGTGGGCCAGCAAATTTCACATGATTTTATTCTTCAGCCAGTAAAAAGAGTGCCTTATTCAGTTCTTCCTGAAAGAGATATATTAGCGCTTGAAAATTCCTTTTTAATCTTTTGAAAGAAAAGGAAAAGAATCTATTGAATTATCTCAACACAGAGAGTATATTGTTATTCATTTATAAGACGTTTCTGTTCATATCTTATACTTTATAGACTAATAATACAATAATAGAACACTAAACAATAGAAATATATATGCAGCTACAAGAAAGAAGCTCTCCAACACAAAAAGCTGTCCAGACTATAAAAATTTATTTAAAAAAAAACATGTGACATGCCTAAATATAGGCACATCATGACTATATATGGGCATACAACAGTTTTTTGTCAAAGAAAGGATATGATAGTTTGGACAAAGCTTAAGATGAGTTTATCCAGCCTGCTTCTGTTTTCTACTACTAGTCTTAAGATAACACATCAAATTCTTGTATGTGTAAGTTTCTCGGATTTTATTAAGAGTATCTACATTAAGTGGATTTTCTTAAATACAATGTGGCCATTGAGTTGTTGTAAGTACTCATTTAAATAGAAGATGTTTACAAGAACGCCAGCTTAAATGGACTTTCTTTTGTTATGTTTTACCGAATATTCATGGTATTAATTATAATCTAGACGGAAATTGCTTCAGGAACGTTCGCACATAGGCCTACATAATTTTGCAGAAGCTCGGTAATGTAATATAAATTGAATACAGTCAATTATAATGAAATACTAGACTATGGACATTATTTCTTTCAATTTACGATGTGGCTTTAAAATTACTTTAAAATGTTACATTTCAACATTTATTTTACAATGTTACATTTTTACAGGCAAGAGTTTATCGACATAACTAAGCCTAGTTGTCGTTACTTGTAATGCCAAATGGAATGCTGATAATATTTTTGACCATGGCCCAAAGCAACCGAACGGGCCCTTTGAACATGTAAAAAAAATTAAATGCCATGAGAAACAAAAAAAAAATTCCGGAGCGGACAGGCATATAGGCATACCTTAGCCAGTTACCTCAAGCATCGTCGTTATGGCAATGTATGACTTACTGGCACACATACTTGACACCCTATTCAATGCTTTGATCTTACCCTAATTACGGTACACACTTTCTTGATCGGATCCTACCATAAACAATCTTATCCATGACCTTATGGTCTTACCAACCCACCACCCTCCGTATGAATTCCTTTTCTTTGATAGCCCTCACCTTTGTCTTAACTGGTAATTACTTTCTTGATATCCTCTAATAGACCCAGCCATTTATCTTCTATTAACTGTTTCATCCCGATTTTAGGTCCGTTTTTATGCGATTCATGTTGTCTTGGCATTTTATGTAGTTTTAAAAATCGATTTATCGAGGCAGACCAAGAGCTGGCGCGCCTGCGGACACGGGAGTGTTTGATTGGGTTTTTTTTGTTCTTATTACCAATAGGAAAGCTTCCAATTTTTCTGGACTACTGCTAATTTTTTTTTTTTATAGAGAAGTGGTTTAAAAACCGTGTTTGATTGACATTAAAAGTTCAGTATTGTAAAACTGTCTTTTGGCCATGTCGTAATACTGATACTTTCGTCAGTATTTAACATTCAAGATATTGCTTTTTTAATCGAGATTAAGCTTTTTTTTAATTACGCATTTCGCGAATTAAAGAGCAAAGCAAAATACTGTATATTATATTATATTTGAATTTCATTTTAGTGTTGCACTACGTTTTCAAAATAGCCCAAACCGTTAGAATCATCCCTATTCCGAGTAGAATCTTCGCCCATCGTTGAATGACGTTGATACGGACGCATGCAGCCACTGTATTTGACGTTGGTAGGCTACGGACGCATGCGTCCCCTTATACGAACCATTGTGCGTCGTGTTTATTTCGAGTGTATTATTATTATTATTGATAGTTGTGGTTAGTTGTTGTTCCAGTGACATCTCGTGTCCTTAAAGCGTATGCAAATAAAAACGTTCTTGTAGGCAAACACTGCAGCATGTAAACATCGTTTGTATTCCCTAGGCCCATGATTTCTACCCTGTTCTTTTGAGGCAATGAATGCCGGTAGCCGATGAGTGGCAACCCCAGATGGATACGCATGTAAACAACCATGTGTTTATATATTGGCATTGTTAGGTATCTTCGATATATCGATGAAAATACGCGTAAGGGAATTGTACGGTAGTAACTAACAAATTTTAATTTACTATTAGGCAGTGGTAAGAGTTTGAGTTAAAATACACAATACAGTATTAATAAACTATTGAATTGCGCGTTTAAAAATATGATAAAATATGAATACCCGTAAATAGTCGAATAAGGGCCGCTCTCTCGATTAAGCACCGCTCTCGAACTGAGACAACTATATACGTATATAGTTGTCTCAGCCTCGAATAAGCGCCGCACCAAACGTGATTTTTTTTTTGCTAAGCGCCGCTCTCGAATAAGCGCCTGTGCGCAATGGAAGAAACAGGGTAATAATTACAATGTATACAGTGTTCAAATAGAAGCACACGCATATCTTTATCAACGTTTATTTACGATGATGTAGAGTCTAGGCCTACCGAACTACGGGAATACGTGAGATAGGTAACATTGGAACAAGCATGGAACGCGGAACGCTAATATTTGTTTAATAAGCGCCGCACTGAAGCCTCCAAGAATTTTATAAGCGCCGATTATTCTATAGCATTTACGGTAGTTATCACGTTCTTATGAGACAGATCGAAACAAAATTCTTGGCCTACTAAGGACATTTTAAATTGTCTGCATGGCAAAGGGCCGAACATAAGTAATGAAACGGTATTATGCATTTGTTAGGCCTATAATACGTTCAGTTGGATTAGATCTCAACCAGGGCTAGGGGAGTGGGGTGTGACGTGGGTTCCGATTTGAGAACTAAATTCCTATTCAATTGGAAACTCAATGGTCGATTTTATTTTTATAACCCACTAATTTTCCGTCATGAGGGAGCCTCATGACGGAATCCTCTGCGCCTTACCTATCGTTCTATTTTCAATTAGAACCACGGGTCCCCCTCCCCTTGCAATTAATGACCCCACCAATTAAAGACCACCTCCAATTAAAGACCACTTGAAACAAATGTTTTTTTATCTTTAATTATTCTAATTAGAGACCAAAGCTGCTATAAAATAATACCACTATTACATTATTAAATTCATTGTATTATTACGT